AGGCAGACTGAGCAGCAGTCTGGCAGTGTGGCAGGGGGCCTTCGCAGCTGCAGGCTGTGGATGGACTGTCCCCTGTGTAACAGGAGCCCCTCTGGCAGCTGGAGCACAGGACAGCTTCCAAATGTGCATGGGAGGGGCTGGGCTAGGCTGGGCTGGATGGGCAGGAGGCAGCAGCAGACAGCAGAGGCAGGCAGCAGCAGTGGCCTCTCAATCCAGGACTAAGCCCTGTGGTATCAGCAGCAGCCTGGAGAGCTACTCTTGGAACAGAGGCAAGCACGACAGGGGCGGGGACAGGAGCTCACAGGCGATTGTAGCAGACCCAACTGGAGAGAGGCACAGCAAGGGCTGAGGGCAGCTGTGGCCACCCTGGTGGTGGCAGCAGTGGAGGCACCTGGCATGGACAGACCTCCCCGGAGCAGCCGCCCCCGCGCCCGAGGGTCTCTCGGCCTAGAAGTCCTCGTCCTCCTCCCAGCCAAAGACGCGCTTCATCTCGGCCAGGAAGCCCCGGTAATTACTGAGCAGGGGGCTGTTATTCTGGATGTAGGGGATCACCCACTGCAGGGCCGGCCCGGTGAGGCGGGTGATGAGGAACGTCACCTTGAGGGCGTCGCTGGAGAACGTGTTCTCGTCCACGAACATGTAGGAGCCCGTCTGCACGATGAACTCCGGCAGCCGGTCGGTGTCGCCATCAAACGTCTCGGGAAAGGGAATCGGGTTCCTCCACCGGCACGTCGCCGGTCGGATAGGCAAGGCTAGGAGGGCCTTAATCAGCTGCACAGGACCATCCATCGCGCTGCTCTAGCTTCAGGGCTTTTCGCTTGGCTGCACCGCACTCAGCAAATCTCAGCGATGAACGTCACCGGAAGTGCGTAAAGGCGGAGGAGGATCAAGGCCTTGAGAAGGCTGGACAAGGAAGGGGTCTCCAGCACCTTCGTAGATTCCTCGCACAAGGTTGGGTCCCCTCTACTGGGCAGGCTTGTTAAGAGCTTACATGGGGAAGGGAGAGGGCTTAAGGGTGGAGCTAAAGCCCCTGGGGGCGGGGTTGTCACCAGAAAGTCTGGTAGCGGGGGAGGAGCCTAGAACCCTGATTACAGTGGCAAATATTTAAAAGCAATCCAAATACTGGCAACTCTTAGGAACAAGCAGAACTCTCAAATATTGCTAGTAGGAATGAAAAATGAGGCTACTACCATGGAAAATAGTTCAGCTGTTTCTTGTAGCATGAAACACTCATCAGCCCCAAATAATCCCACACCGATGTAATCACTCAAATGAACTGAAAACTTACTGTTCACACAAAAACCTGTGCATGAAAACATACAGCAGTTCAGTTCATAATTGTCCCAACCGAGAAACAACCCACATATTGTTCAACCAGGATAAAGAGAAAAACACACAAGAATGTCACTGTACAATGGAACAGGACTCCGCAATGCACAAGCAAGAACTATGGATGTATTCAGAGTTGAATGAACCTCAAAGGCATTATGCTGAGTGAATGAGCAATCTGAAAAGTTGAATTCTGTATGATTCCATTCTTATAACTTCGTGAAAGACAAAGGTAGAGCGATGGAGAGAAACTCAGTGGTTGCCAGAGTGCAGTGGTTGGGGAGGGTCTGGCAATGAAAGAGAGTTTTCTGGGATGAGGGAACTGCATTCAAGTCTGCTTGTTAAAATACACAAGACCAGGGGCCAGCAGTTGGCATTATGGCTATGTTGCTGG